ACACACACACACACACACACACACACACACACACACACACACACACATATATATCTTTCCAGGTAGATGTTTTCATGTATTTATAAGTCTATGTTTTCAAAGAAATTTTTTCATTAAAATTTTCATTTCATCATTTAGAGGCAGTGGTGCAGAAAATAGATTGTTCTTGTGATGAACTGTTAACTACATTTATACCTATAAAAGCTTTTAATGTGAATCTGAATAGGAAGCTAGGCGACCTGTCACATTTACATGAATGTGGTCCTCAGGTGGTGGATGGTGAGCAATATCGCACATTATTAAAGTACAGTTGTTTTTATTTCCAAGTATGCACTATTAATACACAGGAATTGTACTGTGTATTAACACAGTATTAACACCAAATGCAAACATCTTCCTTGACTCTTCAAGTATTTACAAACCAAACATAGACATTGTTTTGTGCATTAATTATATTATTAAGAAAATGTTCAGTTTTGGGTTTTGTTCTTAATGTGGTATGGTAGTTAGACAAAATAATGACAGGCAGCTTATGGTTTTTAAAAAGTAGAGGACAACTAGAAAAAAGTGTAAACTTTTTGATTGAAAAAATACAAATGATATGTAGATTGTAAATGGAAATTTATAATTTTTAAGTAATACTAAGAAATGACTTTATTTCATTGATTACAAGGCTTTTCGGATTCTTCTTGAACCCCAGAAACCTCTCCCTTTTCAATTCTTCACTGATGTTAAGAAGATGATAAAAACAAATACAGTTGTCTCTTAGAAAGACTATAGCCATCAGCAGTGCACAGCTGTCTCTCCATTTTATGGTCAACCCTTTCTGTGGGAATGAAATATAGCATTGAATGTTTTGATTTTGCAGACTCTGATGCTCCTATGCTGGCAAGAGGGTTAGATTAAATAAGAATAAAGCTGTCATGAATGGAATTTATAAGTAGATCATACTGGCATACAGAGAGGCTTGGGAAACATAAGATCAGGTCTTCAGATTATCACATTTTTCTTTTTTTTTATTGTAGCCACTTATTTTTTCAAATCCTCCTTTAGTTTTTGTTTTCAAAGGAACAAACTTGGAAGGAGCTATATATTGCTATGTGTGTGTACAGGCTAATGGTATCATGCTTGGTAGTTTTTGTCAACATGACGCAAATTAGATCTAGTTGGGAATAGAGAACTTCAATTGAGAAATTTGTCACCATCAGATTGGCTTGTGGATATCTCTGTGGTTATTGAGCATTTTCCTGATTAATGATTGATATGAGAGGGCTGAGCTTACTGTGGCTAATACTACCTCTGGGAAAGTAGTCATGAATTGTATAAGAAAGCAGGTTGAGCAAACCATGTAAAGCAAATCAGTAAGCAGCATTCCTCCATGGCCTTTGCTTCAGTTTCTGCCTCCAGGCCCTGCTTTGGCTTCATTCAGTGATGGAGTAGGACCCATAAGATGAAGTACCACTCCTGTCTCAAGTTGCTTTCAGTTTCATCACAGAAACAGAAAAATAGATAGGATAGAAATTGGTACCAGAGAGTAGGAGCTTGTTGTGACAGACCAGACCATTTGAGCTATAAAAGCCAGTTAGTGCTCACAGCTTGATGAGCTGTTGTAGGCACTTGGACCATAATGTGGAGGGCAATGCAGATGATGAAGGCCTGGCTTGTGAAGTTTCAGATAGAAGTTTGAGAGCCCATGAAAGAATCGATATTTTGTGTGATATTTTGAATTAAGAATCTGTGTTTTCTAGTTATCTGTGGCTGGAGAATCAGTGTGATTAATAAGAGGCCAAACCACTGAAGTGAAATTGTTTCTTTACTGGGACAATCGACTCTGGTTAGCTAAGGCTGAAAAGTCAGCTGTTATTAATTTGAACCCAGCTTCAAAGAGATCAAATATTTGGGGAAGTATTTCCTTCT